GATGTTAAATTTTGACAAGAACATTATACTTGATTCTGGTTGTCCAAAAATATTAATATAAACAAATAAATGAAAATACTTGTTCACGCTAGGACAACCGTATCAAAATATTGTTTCTGTCCAAAGAAATTAGATGTTAAATTTTGACAAGAACATTATACTTGATTCTGGTTGTCCAAAAATAATTAATATAAACAAATGAAAATACTTGTTCACGCTAGGACAACCGTATCAAAATATTGTTTCTGTCCAAAGAAATTAGATGTTAATTTTGACAAGAATATTATACTCGATTCTTGTTATTCAAAAATATTAATATAAATAAATAAATGAAAATACTTGTTAATGCTAGGACAACCGTATCAAAATATTGTTTGTACTGTCCATTAGAAATTAATGTTAATTTTCTCAAGGACAGTATTTTTTAAGTTCTTCAAACGATAGTCTGAAGTCAGTCACGTCGGTTAGAGTTCGATTGTTATAGTACGTTAATAAAATTACAATAATTAAGTTAGTATGGTATAATAACAAAAATTGTACAATTATTTACAAAACTAATGCACAAAAATAATATTTCTTACACGCGACTGTCATTTCAAATATTCCGCCGGGAAAGTGTCAAGAATTCAGTGTGATTGGAAAAATTTCGTGACTCATGGTGAGTGATAATTCTTTGAAATTTTAATCATTTACGACGCTATTGTAATTTATTTGTAACTACAAATATGTTACTGTAGTTCCAACAATTGTGAAACATTGCAATTTATTGTAATTTATTGCAAATATCGCAATATCGTGTTTCATTACCATTATATTTCTGCATTTTATTGCTGCTTCGAGTCAAGGATTCGAATTTAAAGAAGATCAATCTTTACACTTGTGTAAAATTTTCTAAAAAAAAAAAAGAAAAAAAATTTGCGAAATCGTGAATACAGTGAAACGTGCGAAAAATACGCGAGCGAATCGGATGATGAGAACGATTGGTCAGAAGACAATTGCACTCGATGTGTGGTTACACAGCCACGTATAATGAGAAGAAAGATTTAATCGGAAGATAGTTGCGAGAGAATGCAAGAAGATAATTCGAAGATCGAATGTGATCCTTCCAACAGGTTTCGTGTTTCGGAATTCCTTTGATATAGATTACGTGTCCTATTGTCTCGAATGGATCCTGTTTCCTAAGTGACTTCACCATGAAAACGCTTAAAACAACTATCCTGCTGAGTGCCCTAACTGACGAACCTCTCCGCATCGTTTCTGTTCTTCCCTCGATAATCAAGATGTCCCAAAGGAATTTCCCCCTCGTATGAAAAACGATACACGCGATTATCTTCAGATCTTCAAAAACCCATTCAACCAGCATTTCAATCATTATATACTGCAGTCATCCAACGAGCACGTAAGTTGGAAACTTTACATGTTTGTATAAATTTGCATACGTTTATATAAAGTTTGTGTATAAGGTTTCTTTCACACGCTTGTGCAAAGTTTATACAAAGTTTCGTAGGAATCTCTAACTGGTGATTCAGAATGGTTTCGCTAGAAAATGAAATTTAACACGAATCTC